TTATTCGAACAAAGTGCACTCCATACTTACAAAGTAAGGCTCACGTGACTCCTTTATGCCTGTATCAAGTCTAAAAGAAAAGTGAAATACTATAAAACTAGTTTCTGGAAAACTAACTAAACCTCACAAACAAAATATTTTTTTGTTGTTTTTTTTTTTTAGCTGACACATGTTGGTTTCTCGTGCAACGCAACAGAAACAAATCTGATTCAGTCAGTTTTCTTTCTCTTACTCCTGCGTTTTTATTTAGCCAAATAAATCAAAATAAAGTTCTCCTAACGATAGAAACTTTTTACACAACGATAAATACGAACAAAGGCTATTTTCTACCAATCTTATCTACGGATGCTCTATTAACTTTTCATGGCAATGCCATCTTACCGGTCATCTTTTTCACCTAAGAAGTGTAGAAAGAAAGAAATGATATCAGATAAAGAGAAAGCAGCTGCATTTATTAATTTACCTTTCAAGAAGTCTTCATCAATTATGCTTCATGTATTTCCAGCTCTTTCGCTTGTAAGTACTTCCAATCAGTAATAGTTATACTATATATTGCACGAAAGTAAGCATAACGCTGCTAATTGGGTCATGAATTGAAAGACTTTGCGAAATGTGTAGGCAATACTGCAAGTTGTCCGACTCCTAGCTGTTTTCCTTCTTTCCCCCTCTCAGTTTCCATGCTATTCCTCAACTGGATCTCCCTTTGTCAATCGTTCACAAATCATAAATCTCAGTTACTAGCATCTCGGATCAGAACATTTACCAACTGAATAAAGTAATTTACTCTACTTACGTTTGTATCGTTTCCAGGCCAAGAAAATGATGATGAGAGCGAGAATCAAAGCGAGGACTCCAATAACTGAGCCATAAACAACATCCTTGTTCACCTTTGCTGGTTCAGATGGAACTAGACCAGGAACAGTAGCTGAATCTTAAATAAATGACCTACATTTCACTCAAACAATGCCTTCCTTAACTGTTAAATTGAATTACTTGGAGTGAAACTAATTTAAACACAGCTATGCACATGTATCTGCAATCCAGAACGGGTAAAGAACTCTTAAAATATCGCTGAAGTTTGCTTTCGCCTTGTAATCAAATAATGTTTTTGGTGTACACCCAATGTGCAAGTGCATCACGAAGATGATTTTTAGACGAGCTGAAAGTCAAAAGCGTAGGTTCAGAGAGTTTCCACCCCGGAGGTAATGCATCTGTAGTACAAATTTGCAGTTCACGGACCCAACTTTTATTAGAGGCACTCTGAATTACCTTCGTCGAAAGTTTATACACACCTGAAATAGTTGGTCCTACGGAAAAACTTTCTACTTTTAGGTTGCCAAGGCTTCCATCATTACTTGCGTCTAGAAGCAATGATTCTACTTCACTTTCTCCAACAGGCTCGTCAAAGGTGAGCGATATTTCTGCAATAACACTCCCTCTCTATAAAAAATTAAGAAAAGTAAATCCAAAACACCTTCAAATTTTTTGTTTTGAAGAATATCTCAACTAGAAAATTAAGATTTTTGTAAACAGAATAAGATAGATGGTAAGTTTTTAGCTCGGTAAAGAAATAAATGAAGATAGTTTTCGTCTCCTCACGAGCGTGGGACCAAGAAAAATTCAAATTCCCATGAGGAATCAAACCTCAGACCTTTGGATTCCGCGCTCCGATGCTTTACCTTCTTTCATCGGCCAAATTTCGATATTTTCATCTTAATCGTACAACGTGTTCATTAGCATTTATGCACTCTTCCTAGCTTTCAGTAAAATTTTTCAGCTCAGTGCTTTAAGATTCCATACTCAGCCAAAACTACTCATTGCTTACAATTACTAGAAGGCATGGTATATTGGTCGCTTGCGGCCTGAGCTAAATGCTCAGATACAAACTAAGTAATGATTTAAAAAAAACTTTTACCTCAGTTCGAGGACCTTAACGCTAGCGAGACTAGTACCTTTGAATTCTTCCATCGTCTGACAAAGGAAAAAAGACATAGAATAAAACAATTTAAATAACTCGTGCACTTTCCCAATTTTATAGTGAAATGGAATTTCGTTTCCTACTTGTGTTTTAAATTACAGAATTTGAATTTATGCCCCAATCTGCTGCTTTAAAACGATATTAAGAGCGAAGCTCTTCATACGAAATAAATTCTTCTCCTATTAAAATAAACGATGATTTCTTAATGAAAAGCAATACACTTTGCTCTATTTTGAATGAAAAGGTGCTAGTGTAGAAATTGGACCCTTTTAAATTATGATAAGCAGTGGTCTCTCTTACAAAATAATTCTTGCTGTCCGCGATATATTACATTATTTTTTTCTCAGTTCGTAAGCGGGCGGTATTCTGCAAATCCTGCAATCTGATTG